CCATACATACATTCATTCATACTTACATACAGACAGACAGACAGACAGAGAGACAGACGGACACAGCGACATACATACACATATACATACATACATACATACATACATACATACGTACGTACGTACGTACATACATACATACACACATACATACAAGCCCGCATACGTAAACACGTACATACTTACATACTTACGCATGTATGTGCAGTCATACAAACATATGCACATACATACATACATACATACATACATACATACATACATGATTGCATACATACATGCGCACATACATGCATGCATACATACGTACGTCCATGCACCCATCCATGCATACATGCATGTATGCATGTATACACGCACGTACATACCTACACATAACCATACACACATGCATAAAGCCATCCACGCATACATGCACACACCCTCACACACATACATACATACATGCATACATACACACACGCATACAAACACACATACACACACATACACAATGCATGCACACACATACATGCGTAAAACCATACATACACACATACATGCGTACATGCATACACACATTCAACCATACATGCATACAAACATGTATGCATACACGTATGCGTGCATGCCTGCATGTGCGTACGTCCGTACGTACGTACATACATGCATCTGTATGCATGCATACATACATACGTGCATGTTTACATACATGCATACATACATGTATACATGCACCTACACATACATACATCCATCCACCCATCTGTCCATCCATACTCACGTATACACATACATTCATGAATACATGCATGCATGCATACATACGTACGTTCTAATATGCATGCTACATACATGCATGCATGCATACATACATACTTCCATACACTCATATATACACACATACATACATACACATACATACATACGTACGTACGACGTACACACATACATACAAACATATGCTCGCCCCCCCCCACATGATCATACACATTCTCCTTTCATCTCTCCAGTGTTCCTCGCCTTTCCCTCATCATGCTCTTCTTCATGTGTTGATGCGCTGGCAGTCGAAACCCATTTGATTGCAACCCATTTCTATTCCTCAACCTCTGCATCCAATTTCGACGTCCTCCTCATGTTCCTGATGTCCCTCTCTCTCCTCCTCCTGCTCCTCCTCCTCTTCCTCCTCCTCCTCCTCCTCCCCCCCTCTTCCTTCCCCTCTTCCTCCTCCTGCTCCCTCCCCCCTCCCCCTCCTCTTCCTCCTCCTCGTCCTCCTCCTCCTCCCCCTTCTCCCTCTCCTCTTCCCCCTCCTCTTCCTCCTCCTCTTCCTCCTCCTCCTCCTCTCTCTCTCCTCCTCCTCCTGCTCCTCCTCCTCTTCCTCCTCCTCCTCCTCCCCCCCTCTTCCTTCCCCTCTTCCTCCTCTTGCTCCCTCCCCCCTCCCCCTCCTCCTCCTCCTCCTCGTTCTCCTCCTCCTCCCCCTTCTCCCTCTCCTCTTCTTCCTCCTCTTCCTCCTCTTCTTCCTCCTCCTCCTCGTCGTCGTCCTCCTCCTCCTCCTTCTCCTCCTCCTCCTCCTCCTCCTCCTCTTCCTCCTCCCCATTGTCCTCCTCCCCCTCCTTTTCCTCCTCCTTTACTCCTTCTTCACTCTTTCTCCTTCTCTTTGTTGTTTCGTGCAGCACGCGCGTGTTCAAGGCCGTTGCTTCGCTTAGCCAGCGCCCCGCTGGGAAACCATGGGCAACCCCGAACACGGCACGGAGCAGTACGACCGCAAGCTGGAGAACAATCGCGCGTACAAGGCCAGAGTCAAAAAGGACAAGGCCAAAGCGGCGAAGCACAAGCTCAAGATGCGATTCCAGAGGCCGCTGTTGAAGAAGATCGCCGACCTGGAAGAGCAGGCTGCGATCTATCCTCCTCTTTGCGCCTCAAACATCTCCAAACATATAAACGCATTGCCCCGCCTGCTCATGCTCAGGTTGAGTGGTGCCACGGCGAGGCGACGGACAACTGGGAGCTCGCCGAGAAGCGTGCGTGGTCCAACGAGCAGCTTCGGGACACTACGTTTTGAAATTCCACCACCACCACCCTGCCCGCAACCGCAAAAGACGGAACCGCAACGGCAGCAACCGCAACGACCGCAACCGCAACGACCGCAACCGCAACGACAGCAACGCCAGCAAAGAGCACCAAGCACGAAGCAAACGCAACTCGAGCAAGACCACGCCACCGAAATCCCCCCCGTCTGTTCGGGTGCCTTGCTGCCCCGCCCGCGCAGGAGCGAGTGCGGAAACTGACGAGGGAGCTGGCCGAGAGCAACGCGGCCAAGGAGAACGCGCAGGCGAAGGGAGCTGCAGACGCGAAGGCCCTCAAGGCCTGGAAGTCCTGGTTCGAGGCTTTCTCGCGCGTGTGCGACCAGGAGCTGCCGCCGAAGGCGACGAAGCTTCTGAGGGACTGGGCGACTTGGAGGGTCACTCACTTGAGGGCCATCCTTCGCTTTTCTCAGGACAACTAGGCAAAGCAGGAGCCCGCCGCGAGGCCAGCTAACGGGAAAAGAGAGGCACGGCGCGGCGGGGAGCGCGACCAGAGGCAAAGCAGGGGGCCGACCGAGGAGGAGGAAGAGGGGGAGGAGGAGGACCAGGGGGAAAGGAGGGCGGAACGCGCTTCTGCCAGGCAGCAGGGGCGGCGCAACGGCATCAGCAGGATGCCGCGCAGGAAAAGCGGTGCAATGATGACATCAAGACAACAGGACGAACCACCCACCCAGAAAAGCAGGCGACGATGGAGCCGCCGACAAGCATGTTCAGCCTAACGTGAACAGGCGCATTGCTGCACAAAAAGGGCATCCTGATTTTAGGATGCCCTCTCTGATACGGGCGTCGCAGGAAAAGCGGCGCAACGATGACATCAAGACAACAGGACGAACCACCCACCCAGAAAAGCAGGCGACGATGGAGCCGCCGACGAGCATGTTCAGTCTAACGTGAACAGGCGCATTGCTGCACAAAAAGGGCATCCTGATTTTAGGATGCCCTCTCTGATACGGGCGTCGTAGGAAAAGCGGCGCAACGATGACATCAAGACAACAGGACGAACCACCCACCCAGAAAAGCAGGCGACGATGGAGCCGCCGACAAGCATGTTCAGTCTAACGTGAACAGGCGCATTGCTGCACAAAAAGGGCATCCTGATTTTAGGATGCCCTCTCTGATACGGGCGTCGTAGGAAAAGCGGTGCAATGATGACATCAAGACAACAGGACGAACCACCCACCCAGAAAAGCAGGCGACGATGGAGCCGCCGACAAGCATGTTCAGTCTAACGTGAACAGGCGCATTGCTGCACAAAAAGGGCATCCTGATTTTAGGATGCCCTCTCTGATACGGGCGTCGTAGGAAAAGCGGCGCAACGATGACATCAATACAACAGGACGAACCACCCGCCCAGAAAAGCAGGCGACGATGGAGCCGCCGACAAGCATGTTCAGTCTAACGTGAACAGGCGCATTGCTGCGCAAAAAGGGCATCCTGATTTTGGGATGCACTCTCTGATACGGGTGTCGCAAGGATTTTGTTCTTCTACTACGACTACCACTACCATTTCTATTACAACTACTGCTGCTACAGCTCTACGACGACTAGTTTTTTTCGCCACCACTACTACGGTTGCTACAGCTCTACGACGGCTAGTACTACTACCACTACTACTACCGTTGCTACTACAACCGCTCCTACCATAACTACCGACAGCGCCACCGCCACGACCGCCACCACCATCTTTTGCCTGGAAACATAGCAACGCAACGGTTGCGACAGATTGGATCGCAATCGGTGGAATTGCGGTACCTACTCCGGCCGGCGGCAGAACGGAGCAGGGGGAGAGGGGAAGGAGGAGAAGAGGGAGTGGAGGGGGAGGAGAAGAGGGAGAAGGTGGAGGCGGAGGAGGAGGAGGAGGTAAAAAACCAAAAAAACCAAAAAAAAAAACCAAAAAAAACAAAAAAACCAAAAAAACCAAAAAAACTATGATTTCTGGCGAATTTTGGTCGCCAGCCGCCAGAGGGGTGAACGAGAACGGGCCCTGGGAACCCTCCAGTGCCAGGACGGCACCCGAGACCGCCAGGAGGCTGGCGAGATGCTCCCAGGGGCGCCCAGAGAGCACCACGAGGACCTCCCAGCCTCCGGGAGCCTGCCGGGAGCTCGCCCCGAGCGGCCCCCGCGAGGCATCCACGGGGCGCGCAAGAGGCCGACACGGCGTGTCCCCAAGAGGCGCCCAAGAGGGCGGGCCCCAACGCAGGCACGGTGGCGCGATGGGCCCACGTCAGCTAGAAGTACCTTCGCAGCACGGTGCGGACAAGCGTCAAGCGTGCACAGAGCTGTGGGCACATCCAGCGTGCGGGTTGTGCCAGTGCGGGTGGGACTTGAAGTGCAACCCTGCGATGCTTGTGTCAGCTGCTAGTCATCGCAGTGTCGTCCCGATGGGCTGAACCAATCATCAAACCTCCTGGGAGTTAAAGCGTGTTTTGTGCTGGAAGCTTTGCAGGACATACGACGTGGGCGGCGACTCCAATATCATATACGACCACGGCCACTATTGAGATGGTCGTGACCGTGACGACCGAACTTACACATACACACGCGACATGACACTGAACAAACTGTGGACCAGAGGTGCTTGGTGCTAAGTGGCCAAGGCTTGGTAGTCTAGGAGACGGGGACGCACCATGTTCGCTCCGGGTGTGTTGAACTGTGGCAGCCCTGCCTGCAAGCAATGGGCTCGATGGGGACAGAGACCCCCTGCGCAGCGACGCCACGAGTGCGTCTTGACCCCCCACGGGTCTTCTAGGGCGGACAGCATCCTCCCGTCGCTCGGACGTCCATTCCCTGTGCATTTTGTTCGGTTTCGTGCGTGGTTGTTCTCGCAGGATGGTCCAGGATGCTCCTCAACAATCCCTGCCGGGAGAAAGTGCACACGTCCGAGCGATGCGGCCCGAAGCCGTCTCCCACGTGGCCCAAGAAGCCGCGGGCGGGGGCCATGCCGCGTGCCCGGGCTCCTCGAAGTCGATCGACCCGTCGCCGTTCGTGTCCACCTCGCGAGGAGCGAGCGGGTGCGGACTTGGCCAACCACGGGATGTCACCAAGATGCTGGGCATCGAGAAAACAACACAACTCAGCACGCACACAACATGTGATGGTGACGCTGCTGATGGTGGTCAAGCATGAAGACTCACGCAATTCGTTCTGCGTGGTGTCGTCGGCGAGGTTCGCAACTCCTACGCCGTGATTGTTCAGCTCAGAAGGCGATACATGAATGAAAAGTCGATCAATCCTGGTGGGGAAAAAAAAGAACAACCTGCGAACCCCACGTCTCCTCGGGCAAATTGCGTTCCGTGTAACCCAGGGAACCCGTGAACTATGTGCACTTCAGAACGCGGGCACCACATGGTTTTTTTTCTCGGGTGCTCGCTACGGGCAAGCAATAATCCGTGAGGATGTCGTCAGCCTTGGCCAGAGGCGCATCCTGATGCAGACGCGCTCCGCATGGGCATCAGTCGGGGCCCTTCTCCAGGGGATGCGCATCCTCGAGGGCGGACGGGTGCTGACACCCTGTGCAGACGCGCGGCACCGGGGCCCAAGTGGGGGGCTCCTGGTGCTCCTCGTCGACTCCAGGACACAAGAGGGGGCTCCCGTCCCTCCTCGTCCTCGTTGTCCTCCAGGTCCACCTCGCCCTCAACCTCCGTCCCTCCTGGTGCTTCCCTCCTCCTTTTGCTCCTGCTCCTGCTCATCCCTCTTCCACCCTCCTCATCCCCTTCTCTCCTCCTCCCCTTCTCTCCTGCACCTGTTCTGAACTGCCTCATCCCCTCCTCCAGCGAACCGTTCCAGCAATGCGGCGTAGTCCTGTGGAAAACTCATTCCACGGGCAGCGTGTGGATACAGCCGACAACAAACGCTGAACATGCAATTCGGAAGGATGTCTGGGAACAAGCTGTGCGTCTCGATTAATCGTGGTCTCGTCTGCGGCTGGGCGCATCCAACGTCGACCTTGTCGGTGCGTGTTAAACGCTTTTCCGTTGGAGTCGTTTCGGTCGCTCCCCCTTTCCCTGGGCACTCCTCCTCCTCCTCGTCCTCCTCGTCCTCCTCCTCCTCTCTCCTCCTCCTCCTCCTCCTCCTCCTCCTCCTCCTCCTCCCCCTCCCCCTCCCCCTCCCCCTCCTCGTCCTCCTTCTCCTCCTCTTCCTTCTCCTCCTCCTCCTCCTCCTTCTCCTCCTCCTCATCATCCTCCTCCTACTTACTCCTCCTCCTCGAACATCCTCAATAAAACAACGTCGCAATTGATTCGAAAGGAGGCCCCTTCCCTTTGATCCCTTCCCTGCCCAAGTGGACGGGGGGAAAGGAAACCCCGGGGGGGGACTGGGGGAAGGAAAACCTGGGGGAGGTCCCTGGGGCCCCGGGGGGGTGGGGTCCTGGGGGTCGTGACCCCTGGGGCCCCCCCCCTGTGGACGAGGGTGACATGGGGATGGTCCCCCTGTGGACAGGGGGACCAGGAGGAGGGAGGAAGGAGGAGGAGGGAGGAGGAAGGAGGAGGGAGGGAGGAGGAGGGAGGAGGAGGAGGAGGAGGAGGAGGAGGAGGAGGAGGAGAGGAGGAGGAGGAGGCGAGGAGGAGGAGGAGGAGGAGGGAGGAGGGAGGGGGGAGGAGGAGAGGAGAGGCGGAGGGAGGAGGAGGAGGAGGGAGGAGGAGGAGGAGGAGGAGGAGCCCCGGCCTTTCTCCTGCCCCCGTCTGGGGCACTCCTGACCCCCCCCCTGGAGGCACCGTCCTCGCTCTTCATCTGCCGTGGCGGGTGCGGCGTAGTTCCCACATGCCTCCAGAGGGCCTCGGGTCTGATCCCAGGCGGCTCCGAGCGACCACTGCGCTTCCCCAAAAAAGACCCCAAGCGGACCCCGACGGAGCCCAAGAGGCTCCCCAGAGAGCCCGTAGGGCTCCAGAGCGTCGGCGTCGTCGTCGTCGCCACCTCCGTCGTCGTCGCCACCTCCGTCTTCGTCGTCGTCGTCGTCGTCGTCGTCGTCGTCGTCGTCGTCGTCGTCGTCGTCGTCGTCATCGTCCCCCTTCAGGGTCGGCTGCACGGGCCGCAGGGCCTCCCCAACACCGGCCTCGTCTGCGGCCGGGAGCATCCAGCAGACGCAGAAAGCCACGCGATCACATGGAAACAACCCGAATCATTGAGCGGGGCTTCCTGATTCGCTGGCCCCTTGGGTGCTGTCGGCGCGCGCAAGGTTGCGGCCTTGGCCAATCGATCGAGATACCACTGGGTTCACAGAACCGGGCAGACGAATCCACAAAAGCAATCTGGGTCATGAGCACAATTGACGCAGCAGGCCACGTCCACACTATGAGATACACTCCTGGCTTGCACGCAATACACAAGGCCGAGCAATGACTATCGATATGTAACATGCCAGCAATCATGCTGGGCAGTGGTCAAGGTGTGGGCCTCCAGGTTGGGATGGCGAATGTGTTCATTTCTCTGCATGTGGTTATTATCCATGTATGTGTGTATATAACTATAGATGTATGTATGGCGACTTCTCGAATGTTCTGCCACATTCTATTGGTCCCCAACTTCCCCCAGCACCGGGAGCAAGCCAAGCAACCACTCCGTCAATGGCGCCTCTCGGACCACGTCTTGGAACCCAATTGTGCGGACGTCTCAGGCGAAACGGGCCATAGCACCTCAATTCAGGGCATTTCGCAGTAGCCCAGGGCTCGGAGGATGTCTCGGGCAAAACAAGCCTGAGTACCTCGCGATGAAACCTAGAAATGCGAAGATAATGTCTCAAGCGAAACGGGCCGGAGCACCTCGCGAGCCGCAAATCCACAGGTGTAATTTGCGAGGATGTCTCAAGCCAAGCGGGCTAGAGAACCTCAAGTCAGGGCACCTCGGAGCCCGAGTTTCCGAGGATCTCTCAAGCGAAACGAGCCTGAGCACCTCGCGAACCACATCTTGGAACCCAGAGTTGTGAGGATGTCTCAGGCGAAACGGGCCAGAGCACCTCAATTCAAGGCATCTCGAAGCCTGGGGTTCTGAGGATGTCTCAAGCAAAACAGGCCGGAGTACCTCGCGAAACACATTTTGGAATCCAAACTTGTGAGGACGTCTCAAGCGAGACGAGCCAGAGAACATCTAGTAAGGACTTCTTGGAGCCTGATGTTGCGAGGATGGCTCTCTGTAGGCCATGGGGCGCACCCAGCTCTTTTGAAGGCAACCCCTCCCCGGCACCTCCCCGTCACCGCCGTTGGGGTTGCCAGGGCCGCACGAATCTGTCCCGGGTGACCCGGGCACCGGGGCTCAGGTGCACTGTCCTCCTCGCCAGCCAAGGCAAGCCCTGGATGGGGCCCAAACAGCCCCAAAAGCCGACCGAAGTGGCCAGCGAGGACAATACTGCTCCGAAACACGCCTCCACCACGTAGAACTAACGGACCGTTCGAGACATCCTCACAATCTGGGCGCGAACGGGCCCGTGACACACCCTTCGTCGGCAGAGCACCATCGCGCATTACCAAGCACGATCGAGCCTCGTCCAGCCCTGGCGACGAGAAGTGTCCCGAGAGCAGTGACAACAAGAGTATTTGTCTGACAGCAATACGAGCATTATCGTTCCTCCCCATCGCCCTCAATCATCCTGCTACTCCTCCTCCCCCTCCCCCTTCGCTTCGCACTCCTCAACGGTTGCTCGGTACTGCGGGGACGTCTCATGCGAAACTGGCTGGACCCCCTCGCACGCGGAATCTCTTTACCCATAATAGCGGGACGTCCCAGGCGAAATAGACAGGATCACGTCGCGGGCCGCACCTTCAAGCCTAGCGCAGCGATGACGTCTCCGATCCCAAAAGTGTTGAGGATGTTTGAGGCGATAAGGGTCAGACCACCTCTCGCGTAGCGCCTGGGAGCCCAGGTTTGCGAGGATGTCTCAAGCGAAACGGGCCAAACCATGTCAAATCTGGTCGTCTCGGAACGCTGATTTGTGAGGTAATCTTATGCGGAACGGACCGAGACACCTCAGAATCTTGCCAATGTCTCGACGCCCGGGCCCATCGGGCTGCATTCGGTCTTACCTCCACAATGCCCCCCGGCACCGGCCAGGCGACCCAAGAACACTCCAATGCAAAAGTCATCCAACGGAGGCAAACGAAAAGTTCCCATACGTGTGTATATATATATGTATGTATAATTTCACACACATATATATATATATATATGTATGTAGCAGCTTCTGTGACAGCGTCGTCGGGCCTATCGGCGGCGGATCGAATGCCGGTACATTCGTGACGACAGGTGGGCAATGAAACCAAGCAGCCTCAAACAACCCGCTGCGCCGACAGTCGCATAATGGTCAATCAAACGTTGTCGGTCGGAGGGGGCAATTCGATAGGCGCGACAAATGTGTGACGACATCCTGACGGCGGTCAACGGCACCAGTCGTGAAAATAATGCCGACTGAAACCTGCTCACTTCGGGGAGCTGTCAAATACCTTGGTTGCAAGGTCACCACGGAGATCGCACGCCGAACCCGTCCAGGCTGGAAATCACTCGTGAATGGCAAGCAATTGCCAGTAGTCAATCATACGCAGTGGTCCGCGCTGAGCAGCTTGCGACTCTCGAAAACGCCGTTGCGACTGCAATGTTGTGGGGGTAATCGAGTTGGATAACCAGGACGCGCGCTGAAAAACAATCCAAGCCACGCAGACGGGGATATTCTGATTGGTCTATCGGCGCCAGGAGACGCAGAGCACAGGGCCACGTTCGTCTGGTGGCAATGTCGTTTCCAGTGCGAGCAGCGGCACTGTTGAGAGCACGTCTGATGAGAACCTCGACCTTCATTACAGTGCGATACCTGATGGTCCTGAACCGTGGGTCGATTGGACAAGACGAGCGACTCGCAGCTTCGAGCCACCTTTATGAGCAGGGAGCAAAATCATCCCTGGACGGTTGCAGGGGCCCTGGCAGCTTGGGCAATCCAGTGGTTGGGCCTGGCTGGGGGGCGGCGGCGGCCGTGGCGCGGCCTTCTGGGCGGCCGCGGCGACCTCCCTGCGGGCGCCGCGCAGGCGGCGGGCGGCGGCGAACGAGACTGCGTCGTCGCCCCCGTCGTCGACCTGCTTGCGACGCCCAAGACTGCATCTAGGTCGGCATCTGTCGGGCTGGGCCAACGGTGGCCCCGCTGCCAGCGCGGCGCGTGCCGCAGCCATCGCAACCAGCAACGGCTCTGGCGTGTCGCCCTGGACGGCCCGCGAGTGTGGGATTCCAGGCAGTCCAGGAGCTCACGCGTGGCTTGCGCCAACTGTTCCACCCCCGCGTCGCGCGCCGTCGCCGCCTCTCCCTCCATCTTCCTCCTCGCGGGCCGCTGCGGCAACCGCAGCCTGGGTATCCTCGTGCTCCTCGTCGTGTGCAACTGCGTCGGCCGCCGCCGCGGCGTGGGTCCAGGGCGGCACGGCCGCCAGCGATCGCCCGCTGCGGTCGCAATCGTTGCTGCTTCCCGCGCCGCCACACGGAAACCCTCTCAGCGGTTCCCGAAGCGCTGCTGGGCCTGGACTGCGAAAGCTGCGGTTCCCTCCCGCTCCTCCGCTGCTCCCACAGCCGCCGGCGGCGCGCCTGCCTTGCGCGCGGCAACAGCTGCCTTGCGGAGGGCGCCTGCCCGAGTTCCTGGCCGCCGCGGCCGATTCCCGCGCGCAGAGCTGGCCAGGCCGCGGCCCCCGTCTTGCCCGCGGCGGCCGGCGCAGGCGGTGGACGGGGCGCCTGAGCGCCGCCACCCTCGGCTGCGGCGCACCGCTGCGGCAAAATGGGCGCGGTCTGCCCAGGTCGTGAAGCCACAGCCGCAGTGCGCATCGGCCCAGCGGCGCGGAGGGCCCGGCTGCCCAGCGCGCCGTCTGCGTTCGCCGACGAGGCTCCGTGTCGAGTCCTCGGCCAGCTCGGCGTCGCCTGCATTGCGGCCCTGGCAGCGCCGCTCGACAAATTGCAACGCCAGCCCTAATTATCTAGGGTGTGGGGCCAGGCGAACGGTGCGAAACTAAACTCCCTGCAGTACCGCCACCAGCCAGCGCGGCCACCCCCCAGTAGGGGACCGGGCGATCGCGCGGGGAGGAACAGCAAGGCGTAGGGGCTAGCGAGTAGGGCGATGGGGCAAGGATGGCCAGGCTGGGCAATGGCTGCGCACCACGCCCTGTCGATGTGACCCCTTGACCGTAAGGCCTGCTTCTTCTCCTTCTCCTCCTCCTCCTCCTCCTCCTCCTCCATCTCCGCCTCCTCCTTGTCTTCATCATCTGGCTAAACATGTGCTGTTGATCTCCTCTGCTCGTCCAATCCAAAGGAGCATTACCGATGCAAGGAAGACGCCAGAAACCATCCTTCAATCGACGTCGTGGCAGATTGTACGTCTGAAGTGCTCAGGGCGACTCCTCGCCTCCTGCCCCCTCCTTCTGCCTAGTGAATGGGATGACGTGTGTCAAAACTGACGTTGTTTACCCACCTGCGCTTTCCAGCGCGTGGGTAGAATGTGCAACGAGTGCCGTCAAGGGACTCTTCGTTATCCGCAGCGGAGGTTACTGGGGTAAACCTTACACTGGGCAGTCATACGTTCCCTGGATCGTCGATCTGTGCCTCCTTGCCCTGCACTCCTCCTTTCTCTGTCCCTGCTCTGGTATCGGAGTGCCTCACTCATTATGTGAGCCACGTCCTCGACGCAGTCCACGCCCATGCCCTCGCAGAAGGTGCCCTCGCCCAGGATAGCCTGGACCTCCTGTTCGAGACGGCCCGTTTTGCTCTCCTGCCCTCTCCCTTCCCACCCCCCTTCCCGCCCCCCCAGGCAGATTCATCGCGAAGCCCCGGCCCTTTCCAAGAAATTCTGTCGGGGATCTCCTGACCCGAGTCAATCCAGACCCGGGTCAGGCAGGCCTGCAGGATCCTGCAAGCTCCTGCAAAATCCTGCGCCCGAGCCCGGGTCAGTGCGAACGATCCTGCAGCATCTCAGAGCTTGAATTACCTCCCCCGCTTTCGCTTCCAGGCAAAACCAAGCCATACCACGCGCCTCCTCGTCAAGCGGCCTGACCAGTACAGGCCGCAATTTGGCATCGTTTGGTATCTCTTGGAAGCGAGGGTGGTCAAAAGCGAGGTAGGTTTGTTTTCCCCCGAGGATCCTGCGCCCGCACCCGGGCCAGTGCGACCCCGGCCCTGCAGGATCCTGCCACATCGGGCGCTCTGGCCGACCCCCGCCTGCCCTGACCCCCGGCTCGAGGCTCCCGCGTCTGCATCCGGGTGCCGTTGCCGGGCCCCGCGGGACAGCCAGACAGCTGTGTGATGCGAAGGCTCCGGCCGCCGAGGCCCAGGGGACAGCGTCTCGGCTCTGCCCTGCCCTGCCCCCCACCACGGTGCTCCCCTCCCCGCGCCCCTGCTTCCATCTGGTGTTCCCCCTCTTTCTCTCTCTCTCTCTCTCTGTCTGTCTGTCTGTCTGTCTGTCTGTGTGTCTGTCTGTCCGTCTGTCTGTCTGTCTGTCTGTCTGTCTGTCTGTCTCTGTCTGTCTGTCTGTCTGTCTCTGTCTTTCTGTCTGTCTGTCTGCCTGTCTGTCTCTCTCTCTCTCTCTTCTCCACCCCTCCGCGAGCGAGGCTGCAGACCAAAGTGAAGCGCCTGCGACGTGGAGAACGGCGGCGATGGCAACGGTGGTAGAGTTCGCGACAAGTCGCAACAGCGATGACAGACAAAGAAGGCGCTGGCAACGGGATGCTAGGGCTTCTCGCAAGCCGCAAGCTCATGCCTCCATCGTGACGCATCACCTTCGATGCGAGAAGGTCGGAAGCTTTGACGGTCCGCGTTCGCACCGACGTTTCGCACTCATGCCTCCTAGCAGCGCAGGCTTGCGCCACAGCTCAGGAGTGCGCCTGTGGAATCGAAACGTCGCCGCCCACTCAGCTCGCGCCATCGGAACGCAGAGCCACGACCAACGCCCTCAAGCCTTGCCGCCCATCACACTTGAGTATCGTTTAACCGATCCCCATCCCCAGCGGCGTGGCCTGGGCCCCACCTGGCCGATTTACCCCCCTAGATGGGAGTATAGGTCGTTCCCTTCGGGTTTCGAGGAGTGTATCCCCAACTGGGGGGGTAATTTGGAAGGGGCCCCGAAGGGGATGGGGATGGGGATGAGGATCGGTTAAACGATACCGAACGATGCAGAGCTGGGGCATCGGCCTCTGCGCGGTGTGAACGCTTTGTGGTGCGGAACGGGGCCCGCCGCACACGCAGACTTCAACGGCCGAGTTACAAGCACGAGGGCACCAGGTTTAAAGCCCCTGCAATCCTTCATTGTAAGGTTGCAGGTTGGGCCCGTTTCGTCTCACACGGCATTCCAATGAAACACAGAGAGAGAGAGAGCAAAAGCGAGAGAGAGAGAGAGAGTGAGAGAGAGAGAGCGAGAAAGACAGCGAGAGAGCGAGAGAGAGAGAGACCATCATCATCCCCCTCCCCTCCTAATCATCCTCCTCGTCCATCCCCCTCCTCTTCCACATGTTCCATCCTCCTGTTCCTTCTCTCTCTCTCTCTCCTCCGTCTCATCGTCACCATCTTCCTTTTCTCATCCACCTCCTCCTCCTGATCGTCGCTCCTCCATCTCATCCTTCCACTGCTTGCTCATAGAATCCCGTCCCCTCCCTGAACATCCAATTCGGTCTTAAGATCTTGATGCTCCTCCTCATGTTCGTCTCCTCCTCCCGCCCTGCTCGTGTTCCTCCTTTGTTTCCTCCTCGTCCTAATGTCTATCACGCTCCATGCGTTCCGCGTTCGCCGCGCCCGAACACAACCTACTTGGGTGAGTTCCGCGTGGACGTGCACCCGCGGAAACACGCCAGAATCGCCGAACTAGGTCGGCCACTCCTTCTCAGACTCCCACATGTTATTATATCCCCTTCTCCTCTGCCTCTCCCCCCTTCCCCCCGCGAAGCAGGCCGCTGCGAGCGGGGCGCTGACGTCGTGGGAGTCACAAGACGCCAACAATAGCCGCCATACTTTTCTGAGCATTGCCACCGTGACCATGGTACCGTAACCCTGGCACCCTAATCCAACTCTATGCGCTCTAGCCCTTAGCGGGAGTCCTGACCAAAAAACAAGAAACCTAGCACCCGCACGCCCTAAGACCTAAACTTACGCACCCCAGTCCTAACACCCCAGCCCGAACACCATAACACAAACACGCCAGCGCTGACCCGAGCATCCTAAGAAGCACAAGCCATATACCAGAACACTTACCACTGACCCTATCAAACACCAGACCCCTAAGCGAGGAGCCCCCAACACCCTGACCCTAAACCTTACACCCGTGCACCCGCGCGCTAATCCTTACACCCTCACTTTCGTATCCTAATCCTAGGACCCTGGCCCTAAGTATTTCCCGAGCGCTCACGCCCTCACACTGACTATAAACATACAGCATGGACCCCATGATGGTTCCACACACTAGCCCCTCGTAGTCGTATAGCCCTGAATCCAAACACCTTACCACCGTCACCCTGACACCCCAACCGCGCCCTAACGCCATGACCAAACACAAACCCTAACCCTGACACCGTAACTCATTCACCCTAACACGCAAGCTAATAGCCGGAGCAACAATCGGCTAACATGGAACACCATGGCCCTAAGTCTTACAGTCCAATCATAGAGCTGCAAACCTAACGTCGGTACCCTATAACCCCAACCAATCTGCTCCGCCCTACCCCAAACTGTGACAGCCTGACTTTCACATCTTGGCCCTGCTCGCATCACCCTAATCGTAACAATCATCATGCCCTAAACATGACGCCCTAACTAACCCCCTTGACCTGAATACACGAACCCTAGCTTAACACCCGTACCCTGGCGTGCTACTCTAAAGCGCTAGTGCGTTCCTTCACACCCTAACCCTAACACGCTGATCCTACCACCCTGGCCCTAGCAGCCTAACTCTGAGCATTAGCCCTGACCCTAACACCTTAAGATTCGACTAGATAATGACAGTCTTAATCCTAACTCCCCGGCTGTACCACCCTAGCCCTGACCCCAACACGCTGACCCTATGCATCGTCCCCAGACATACAAACGTAACACAGTACACCTGACATGTTAACCCTATCAATAGAACCCTGGCCCTAACACCATGGCCCGAACATCCTACACCACACCCTGACACCCTAACCTTCAGGGCCAACCCTAACCCTGACACGCTCAGTCCAAAGCTAAGCACAGCAGCGCTAGCACGATAACCCCTACACCGTAGTCTTCACGCCCCAACCTTCACACCCTGCCCTTAGATCCCTGAGTCTAGCCGTACCACCCTAGTCTTCATGCCTAATCCGCACGCCATAAACCTCAACCCCGAAATCCAATCCTGCCAGTCCAACATCGATGCACTAACCAAAACCCAAGCACGATCATCCTGGCGTGCTACCCTGCATCGCTGATGCTGACCTTATCGCCCTCATCCTAAACATGACAATGTACACGCATCGCCAAAACCGTGCAGCTGACGCCCTCCCTCCCTGACCCTCGTCATTCTCTTTTCTCGTCCTCCCTCCTCATCCCCCCTCTTATCAATTTTTACTCGCCGTCCCTCATCGTCGCCCTCGTTGCCCGCAATCCTCATCCGCCACCTCTCCTCCCGGTCATCCCTGCGCCCTCCTCCTCCTGCTCCGCCTCCTCCTCATTCTCTTCCTCCCTTTTCCTGCATCTCATCCTCCTCCTCTCGTATCATCCTCATCTCGGGAGCGGCCAAGAGGGGGGTGTCCAAGAGGGGGGGGTGCAAATCATGACCGGCGGCATGTGCGCGGCCCAGCGGGGGGGACTGGGACGTCATAAAATAAGAAGAGGCGCCATGAGATCTGAGGAAAAATTATGGCCCGCGCCATGATATCCACCCCCCCCTAGTCATCACCCCCCTCTTTTCCGCTCCCGATCATCCTCCTCATCGTCCATGCTCATCCTTCTTCTCCTCCTCCTCCTCCTCCTCCCTTGCCTCCTCCTCTGCTTCCCTGCCCTTCCTCCACTCTCAGCCCCGCACTCGGGATGCCGACGCCCCTCCCCCCCCCCCCCTGTGCCTCCTCCCACCCTGCCCGTCCTCGTCCTCCGCTTCCTCCTCGTCCTAATTAGGGGGCAAGCAAACATACCTCGCTTTTGACCACCCTCGCTTCCAAGAGATACCAAGCGATGCCAAACTACGGCCTGTACTGGTCAGGCCGCTTGACGAGGAGGCGCGTGGTATGCCTTGGTTTTGCCTGGAAGTGAAAGCGGGGTAGGTAATTCACGCTCTGACTAATGTGCGTCGTGCTCCGTGCGTCTCCTCCTCAGCCTCCTCCTCCTCAGCCTCCTCCCCCTCCCGCGGCGCAGGCCGCCACGAGCGGGATTCGCGCTGCAGCTGTCACATATCTCAACCGCAGCACCCTAGCACTCTGAGCATACAGTCGCCCGTACTCTGGGCACTCTGAGCCTGCAGTCACTCCGAGTGATAAGAATGCGCGGAAAAGGTGCAAGAGCCTTGGGCGCCCATGCCGGGGCTCTTCGAGCGGGGCTGGCCATCAAAAGTGGTTGGGGACGGACCGAAGACGACCGAAGAAGCAAGGTTGCAAAAGCACCCTTGGAAATCGATCTTCCTTGCTATACGGGCTGGCTGTGCCACCTTAACTTAAACTAGCATTCTATCTAAACACGAACAGTGGTCCCACCCCCCGTAGCTCTAGCACCCTAACATCCAGACACCACAATCCTATCACTCCGATCCTAACGCCCTAAGCCTATCACCAGAAACCTAACACCCCGTCGCTACAGTGGGGGCCAGTCCACAAGAAACCTTCTACAAGAAACCCAGCCCTGAGACCCCAGGGCATCCATTAATGTCTGGTGTAGGAACGTCGCGCTTTCCATAGCAGACCACCGAAACCCAAGAAACACAAGGCACCCTGGAGGGAAGCAGGGTGTTTCTTGGCATGGGCCTCCAATGTAAGCTTAACGCCCTCTTTCTGCGCACAAGCCCTCGGCACAAACAATGACTCCATCGCACTGCCGCAAACAATATATCCACCCAGGTGAGCTCGCCCTAACTTTAACCGATTGTACCCTGTACCCAAGCGGCCTGAAGCATCAGGCTTCACACTGACCCTAGGAGATTTGGGTGCTAGACCGAGGACGATGTGTTCCCCAATCAGTGCTTGCACTGAAGGGTCCTAGCGGAAATTGAAAGATTTGGCGAAAAATCCCCGCCGATTTTGGTGGCAGGCTGGGTTCCCCGGTTCCCCGGTTCCCGGTTCCCGGGTTCCCGGTTCCCGGCTCCGGGTTCCAGGCCGATTTCGGAGGGCGGCGAGGTTCCCAGGTTCCCGGGTTTCTGATTGATCTTCTATCGATCGGTCTCACCATCGATCTCATTACCGACTTGTCGATCGATCTTACCATCGATCTCATAATCGATCTCACTATCAATATCATAAGCGATCTCACTAGAGATCGCATGAGCGATCTCGCGATCGATCGATCCCACTATCGATCTCATTGAATCGATGTCACTCTCGGTCTAACGATCGACCTTACAATCGTCCTCACTATCGATTACACTATCGATCTCATTATCGATCTCATTCTCGATCTCACAATCGATCTCAAGATCCATAGTAGCAATTTTCAAATCGTCCACTGATTAGTGTTTTCTCCGACGTAATTTTGACATTCACACTCTAGATGGCTGGCGCCAACCTATCCGACCCCAAGGAGCTGCTCCTCTGGACGAGGGAGATTTCTGAGCAACCAGGCGATGGCCTCGGCCTTTGCGTGAAGGTTCGGTTTGCGTGTCCCGGCATGGCGATGACCAGGCGCCGACCGACATCCAGGGGCACCTGTTCCTGGACTGGTCGGCCGTGAAGCACATGATTCGTGAGCTTTCGAGGGCTGGTTGGGGTTTTGAGGCCCAGGGCGACTCTTCGAATGTCGTCAACGCGTGTGGGGCCCCCATGTCCACGCAGTTGTCACACCGCAGACCCTACGCGGGACTGATGCTGAATGGTAGGAGCAACGTTTGACAATCTGTGGTGAAACAGTTCAGGCCCATTAGGTGGAGCGTGACCCGATGACGGCCGAGGCGCTTGTTCGCACTGGACACGACGCGGCCGACAGAGCGGCCAACGCGGGGGCCGTTTTGCATCCTGAGCCCTCTCAGGCGGAGCAAGATGCGCTCCTCTCCCGCGTCCTCCTCGCCCTCCTCGCCCTCCTCCTCCTTCTCCTCCTCGCCCCCCTCCTCGCCCTCCTCCTCCTCCTTCTCGCCCTCCTCCTCTTCTTCCTCCTCCTCCCTCTGAAGGGGCTGGCGGGTGCCTCCCTCCCGCGCAGGCCCGGGCTGGATCTTTCCCCTACTACGTTGGCACCCTCCGCCGCTCCGACGCCACCCAAGCCCGCGGAGGCGGTTCACCAATGGGTTTTTGGTCTCGGAAGCTCGGGCGGTGTGAGTGCTGTTTGCGGTTCCGAAGGACCGTCGATAAACCTTCGGAATCAGGGTGCGTCGGTCATCCGCATCTTGCGCCGGAGGGCATCTCCCGGATGGGACACGCGAGGCTGGCTCCAGGATGCTCCGTCCACTCGAGTCCTGTTGTGTGTGAGAGCTGCAAAGCCAGCACCACCCTTCGGCAAGTGAGGAATCTCCTGGTCCCCTGCAAGCTGCTCGACAAGAAGTCGATTGCTGGCAGGAGTGCGCTCTCGAGTTGGAAGAGGACTCAGAGAGGGATCCACCCAAAGCTTGATACTGTTTTTGTAGAATTGCTTCCCCCTCTCGGGGAGGACGGAGAATTCGAACCCCAAGGCGAGTTCCGTCCCAACGAGGTAAGATCCTCCTTTGTGAACGAAGAGACTCGAAGGGTCCTAAACTCGTACTAGCTGCCCTCGGTCAGGGTTCCTCTGGCGATTCGGACTAGCGGCTTTTTTCTGGCTCAGACGAGGAAGAGGTTCGGACGCTAGGGTTGAACTTTGGTGATTCAGATTGGCGTGCTAAAGTAGGTTATTGCGGTTAGGGTGGAACTGTCCGGGGTAAACATTTAGGGCTGGGGTGACAGGGATAAAGGGTGCTAGGGTTGGAGTCAGTGTGCTAAGGAGTCAGCGTGCTAGGAGTACGGCGATAGGGTTTGGATTTTGCGGTTAAAGTGCGATGGTTCAGATTAATGCTCAAAGCGTTAGGGTTTGCCCTGAACGGTTCGCACTAACGGTACGGCTTGGGCACTACGTCTAGGGTGGCAGTGCTTAGGTCAAGGCGTTGGGTTTGGAGTGTGAGAGTTCGGGTGTGACGGTTAGGGCGATGCCGTTTAAGTCACGGTGTCAAGTGTCAGGGTGTTACGGATTTGGTTAGTGATGAGAAGATTGATCGGGTGTTTGGGTTCCGCTGCCAGGGTCACGGGGAGCAGGGGTAAGGTGTTTGGGTCCCGATTACTTTGTCAGCGCCGCGTCGCGCGGGCTTGTGGTATTAGCGCTATGGTGAAAAGGGTTCGGCTGTTAGGCCTCAACCCTCAACAAACTCATCCTAAGGATGTCATTGCAAACCAATGCAGTCCCACCAATCCTGCAGACAATGCTACGCGGGTGCCTCAAGATCAAACTTGAGCGGACAGGCGCGGGAAGTGCCGTCCCCTTGGCGCGAATTGGCGGATATCCAGCGCATGGAGACACCACAGGGAATTAGAGAGCGTACGTTATCTTGGCAGCAAGCGCCCACCCTTCCGAGCTACGCCTGTCCATCCCTGACGGTGAAGTGCTCGTCCACAGCTTCGCACGCGTGCGGCACTCTCGGTACGAAGCTTCCTGGCTGGGACCGCTTCCGCACGCGAACGCGCCCTTCCCCGCCCTGCGCAGCGATGGCGGTCCTCGGGAGAGAGGGTCCCGTCGCCGTCCTTGTCGAAGAGCTTGAACGCAGCCCGACACAGGTCCTCCTCGCATGCTTTCGACGAGAGAGGGCGAACAATCAATAGCACTCTCTTTTTTGGTTGTGTTGTTTTCTCTTTTCGGTTTCTTGAGCAAGACGCCCCACTATAACATCCTCTTGTCCCTCTCGCCCGCCTCTGGCCGTCACTGGATCATCTCTGCGGGGGAGGGCGGGCTGGAGCGAGGGCGGGGATGGGGGCCGTGCTGGGAGCGATGCCGGAAGAGTCTCTGGGAGAAGCCTGTGCCCCGAAGTCCAGGAGCGGCTCGGCAGGCCTCCAAGAACACGAGGCCACGCGCTTCGTGGTAGGCTTCGCGGCCAAATGCCAACCCCGAATGCTACCAAAAATGGCGTATCCAGTCAAGCACCCTCAGCATTTGCCAGTTGGGCAAACTCTCGGAAGCCAATGTTTTATTCGTTTCCAGGACGCCACAGCTAGACTCCGATCTACTCGTCAATGTGCTCAGCACAAGGATCTGGATTGAAGCATGGACCGACACGAATGAACCATTAAAACGCATCAACACCAATGAGAAGAGACGAGAAATAGGACAGAAGGGAAAATGATAATACCATTCTCGCGAGCAATGCTGAGAGGCTCTGGGATCCAGACCACGTTGGGCGGTCGAAACGCAAAATACAGAAACGACACACACCAAGCGGACCCTGCCTGAGGCCACTGGCAAATCGTGTTCTCGAACTGCATCCTTGGTCTTCCTGGACGGTCGTTTGACTGCCACACAACTGGCCACACAACTCAAAGCCCATGTGTCACACATGTCCGCTTCGGAGTCTTCGGCTAGACTCGATGTCGCTCGGGTGGATCTGTCGGACGATGAAGGAGCTCGGGTTCCGATGGCAACCCACGAGACGTGCTCCGCACCCAGGTGCGTCGCACCTCGCCCTCTGCGACGGCACCGTGCCAAGATGGCCCCCTATCGAAACGCAGATAGCATCCAGTGGCCCGAGGAGGCCCTGGAGAGTACTGGAGCAGCAGGTCGGCCTGCGAGAAGGGGGACTCCGATGGGAGTCCAGCTCGGCCCTGTTGGCCCCGCGGACGGAGCTCGGCGACTCGAGCGTGCTCCTCCCGCCCCCTCCCCACGGCCCTCTTCCCCGAGTTCGTTGCCCCGGCTCGCGGCCTGCGAGTCATGCGATCGCAGGCACACGCAGACTCGCCATCGCTCGGGCGGCCATCTCCCGTACATGTCTCGATGTCGTGCGCTTCGGTTTCACAGGATGTCCCGGGATGCTCCTCGACGGCCCCCGCCGAGAAAAGATGCACCCCTCCGAGCGATGCCAAGGAGACTGATGCCGTGCCTCTGCCCGCCGCGCCCTTCCTCGAGCCCACCCCCCCTCTCCAGGAGACAGGAAGCGAGAGGATGCCGAGCCGCGGCGCCAGAGTCAGGTCGGGCGTGTCCCCCTACAGGCGGATTCCGGACGGACAACATTTATTAAAAAAAAAAAAACATCAAAACATACCCCCCAAAATGGTCTAACAATAATCAAACAATCCTCCCCCGACTATGTTTCTTAACTCTTCTTGAACCTTCCCCCTGTCGAGGGGCAGGCCCGATTCCACGCCAGAGCCGCCCCCCTCCAGCACGAGGCGGCGCCGAGCAGAGCAGGCGCGGGGCGCGAGGGAGGGAGCGCAGGAGGCCCCCCCCCCCCCCCCTCAGGAGGGGAGGGGGAGGGGGAGGGGGGGGGAGGAGGGGGAGTGGGAGGGAGGGAGGGAGGGAGGGAGGGGAGGGAGAGGGGGAGGGGGAGGGGAGGGGGGAGGGGGGGGAGGCAAGCTAGGTGCGCTCGCGTCACATCTGACGTCCTACCCCTCCCTCCCATCCCTTACCATGGCGCTGATTTTCTCTATCCGCGGACGCGTGTCGTAGCGGACCTGTGGCTCCGCGCGCGCGTGCGTAGTGGGTGGTGGTGCGCGTGCGTGCGTGCGTGCGTGTGTGCGTGGTTGTGGTGGTGGTGTGGTGGTGGTGGGTGGTGGTGTGGTGGTGGTGGTGGTGGTGGTGGTGGTGGTGGTGGTGGTGGTGGGTGGTGCGGCGCGGTGGTGGCGGGCGGATGGGCGCGCGAGAAAGAGGCCCGCGCTGGGGCGAGAACGCCATCCTGAACGACGGAGGCCAAACACCGATCCGAAAATGAGGCCCACGCTGCAGCGGGAGCACGATTCGGAACGATTCGGGAGCAGAAATGAGGCCGGCGCCTCGGCGAGAGCAGCATTTCGAAAAAAAACGCAGGCGAAAACCCGTTTCCCGGGAATCCGGTGTAAAAAACAGTACGCGGGGGGGGGGTCGGATATCTTCGGGACGCCATCAGGGGAAGTGGGAGAGTATTTTCATACTGTATAATTGTGGAAGGGGAGGGGGAGGGAGGGAGGGGCAGGTGAGCCCAGAATCGACTCGATCAGACGGACCGGCGATCGAAACGACTCGGCTCGGCGGGGATCGGCAACCAACTCGGGAGAAGTCGAGTCGGCAGGAATCGGCAGGCTGGCAGGCCTCCATTGAGAAGTCGGGGCCCCACTTGTAGTCTGAAGTCGAGTCGAATCGGAATCGGAAGCCATCGAAATCGAATCGAATCCAGTCGGAGGAATCGAAACGAGCCCTGACAGGGGCCCAGTCCTCCCCTCCCAGTCACCCTCTCCCTCGGCCCCTGCACCTCCCTCCCCCCCCCCGCCCCTGCCCCCCCCCCCCACCCGGGCGAGGGAGGAAGGAGTGCCGGGGAAGGCTTCGCGGGGACTGGCTCGTTTGGGGGGGGGAAGCGCCAAGAATCAGCGATACATCGCCGATCAATCGGCGATCAGCCCCGTACAGGGCAGTGTTTAATACATCGGATTTTTTAACATGGGATGTTTAATACATGATTCACTTATGAGTAAATGTATGCATGAACTCGTCGTTGTTTGTAAAAATAAAACCCTGCATGTTTAATACATGATCCGTACGCGGAGCATGTATTAAAAACGGCCCCGGAAGGCGAGACCGCACGTTCCAGGGCGCGGCGGGCTACCATACCGGGCCCCTATCGGCGATCAGTGGGCGATTCGTGGTCGATGCACTCCGCTGGGCCGATGCCACCCTGGCCTTGCCCCCCTGCACGGGGAGGAGGGGGAGGGCGCTGGCCTGGTATGGGCGCAAGAAAGCTCCTCTGCGAGAGGGGAGGCGGGGGCCGGGGACGGACTTTTCACCCAGGGATCCAAACCGATCACCAAGGCAGGTCCGAGGTCTGCAGGCTCAGGCCGCAAAGCGTGCGGTGCCTTGACGACGGGCGCGGCGCGCCTCTGCCGGGGCACCCGACCGCCACGCCGCCAGGAAGCCAGACTCCTGCAGCAGCCGGAAGGGGTCGAACCTGAGCATGAAGAGGAGGTGCGCGTCCTCCTGGCACTGATGGGAAGACTTGCCAAGTCGCGCCAAGCGATGGGCCTCGCCATTTTCACTTATGAAATGAACGATGTCGCGGTACCGGGCCATGTCTTTTGGGTGGGCAGGAGCAGAGATGACGCAACCCTTGCTGCTGAGCAACTGCGACATGCGGAAAGCGTCCATCGGGCTAGACTTCCCTGGCAATCTGTGAAGATTGAACTGTATTGGGAACTCCTCCAGATACTCTTTCAATGCGGGGGTGCCCGATATGTTGTGTTTGAATTCCACCTTTCCAGGTAACAACTTACGATACCTCTCTACCTCCGATCTCCTCTGGAGGGACGCTGCACCCAATAAGCCGACACTTCTCTCGGTGCGCTTTGGGCTATGCAGATCGATATTCAAATCATACGAAGCCACGTACCCTGGAGGGACATATCTGTATGTCACGTTTGGCAATCTAGGCTTACAATATTCGATGTTCGCCAAAGAATAGTCCCACACCTCGTCCGCTTCGTGGCGCTCAATGTGGTCGATAGTTGGGCAATCAAGTGGCTCTGGCTGGTACAGTACGATGTATGCCCCTCTCATCTTCGCGTTTGAAGAAACCCAATCCGCGGTCTTTCCGTATCCACGGGGAACCCTATCAAACCCGACGACTAAGACGACAGGCCGCTTGCCCACTTGCGCTGCCGATTCGATGTTCTGCAACATGGTGTCTGTATCTCTGTTCGTCACCAACGCAACGCTCGCCCCGGCTTTTGCGAATCCTGCGGCTGCGGTGAACAATATAGGATCAAACATCGTGGACTCCTCATCCTTTTCGGCCATGTACAAGAAAACATCAGGCACGCCGCCAAGCTCCTTGTAGGGCCATGCAGGTCTGGAATACTGTAAAGTATCCTGTGATCTCGAAGCCTCCATGTGAAGTGGGATTGGCTGGCTGGATGCACGAGGCGTCACTGAAATGGCCCGCGCGCTGACTGCGAATAACACCACAGGTGCCAAGACCAGGCCGCACGCACTAGTGCAACCACCCAGCGCGGGAGGGTCATGCCGTAGAGACATGTATATGCTGTGCCAATCCGCTCAATAATTCAGAATCAGAGACTGACGCCACCAATCAAACGGTATCGGCCTTCTTATCGCGAATTAACAGGGGATACCGTGACTTGCTTCATACTGGCTTTGGAGCTCGAGACAAAAATTGCAACGGTGCAAGTGCGGCCATGAAGTAGCGAAGCCCAGAAACATACAAACCCACCGAGGATGAACAAGTGGGAGGGAATCAATGGACTCTTGTTCTGGCCAACTGCTTTCCACAATGCCCGTCACAACGCCGTGTCGCGGCGATGTGGCTTGCCTGCTGTGTTTCACTCAATTCTGTCCTTCCGAGCAGAAACCTAAGGCTTCCCCAAGCGCATTTCGCCCAACATGCGTAGTCTTTTTGATTCGAACCCAAACGCTTCTGGTCTTCCAGGCAAGCAGAAAAGCGAGGCCAAATCTGAGGTGGCAAGTCCCCCTCCCCCAAGCATCTCCCAGCTCCCACTCATCCAACGAGCGGTGGAGGATTATCATGCGCAGCAGCGCAGCTGAATGAACTTTCAAGACGCTAAGCGGCCCGACAACATCTACCTGGTATTGTGTTGTTTGCCTTCAAAGACATCGGCTCGGGAACCACATTGAATTCGCAGGATCATTCCATGACCATCCAAACATACAACATAGTAGGGGTCGTGGGCATTTGCTGAAACGTGCCGAGTCATCTGGGATCATCTTGGGGCGCCTCTGGCCCTCGAAAACTAACTTCTGGTCGTCGTTTCGGAATGCCTGGGGTCGTCCTACAGAACCTAGAGTCATGTCGGAACCACATTCGGCACTCTTAGAATCCCTGAAGGTGATTGCTGGGCCGTGTACTGTACGTGGGATCGTGGCGGGTCCATTCAGAACCTTCTTGCACACGCACGTCATAGCTACCAAGACTAGGGAAAACTTTACACACACCCTGCGCTGCCAACAAGACAAGAAACGCATCCACCGAACATGCAAATCTCATGGGCCAGCCATGGCGCAGGAAACCCGCTGGTGGCACCAGAGAGTGTAAGCGCCTCCGTGTCGCGCCCGAATTATAGCTGTAGCGATCTGGACATGCTCGACTGTCTATTCGTGATGCTTCGCTGACCGGGGCCCGCTGAGGCTCTCATAACGTACCGACCAGGAAATTCCCGGTGCTGGGGCAGCGTGAACCCCACGGCCCAGCTCGGGCCGTCTGCCCCCCCCCAGGGGCCCTCCCTGTGGCGTCTTGGGGCCAGCTCGGGCTGTCTCGAGTCTGGCTCGGGGCCTCTTGGGCTCCTTCTGGACCGCCTGGAAGCAATTTTGGAGGCTTCTGGAGCTGTCGGGGACACTCCGACGGCCGAAGAAGGCGAGCATGCGCAACTCATAGAAAAGCTGCAAGACAATCAACATGTCTTGCCCGGTGGTGGCCTCGTGGGAATGCTTGTTGCGCGCCCTTGGGCCATCTTGGGCGGCTCCTGGGCCGCGTTTGGCCCATCTGGGCGCCATGCGGACATCTTTGACAGCACTGGAGCTGTTTTGAAGACCCTCCCAAGGAGATGTTTTGGGCCAGCTTGAGCTTCTCTAGGGACCCTCGTGGGGCCCTTTTGAACCGTCTGGGGGCGATTTTAGGGGCTTCTCGGGCGGTCAGGAACAATACGAAGGCTTTCAAACATGTGCAGACACCAACGTTGCTAGCCTATTGAGGGCGACGTGGGAATCAGTTTCTGGCGCCCCTAAGGTCATGGGGCCGTTCTCGGCTGTCTTGGGGCTCAGTTGAGTCATCTGGGGGCCATCTTGGGCCGCCTTGCAGGCCTCTCTCTTCGAGCGATCTTAGGGCGTCCTGGCCTGCCCTGGGTCTCCAGGACGCCTGGTTGGAACCCCCGTTCACCGCTGACCTGTGGAAGCTCCAACGCGCCTGGCCCTGGTGCCCCCGACTGTCGGGAGTGCAAAGGTGTGTGAAATGACTGGCTGCCCCCCTCCCCCTTTCCCCATTTTCCCCCTCCCCCCAGATCATTGGTTTTTTCGGTCGCGCCCGGTAGCGATGAGTTCCCTCGCTCTGCCCATTCGCCTCCCTCCTCCCTGTCCCCTCCCCGCCCCCCCCACCCTCTTCAGACGGAGTGTTGCTGCTTACCCTCGCGCGCCATTTGCGCAAAGCTTGCAAGTGGTTGCCGGCCGCCGAGGCCCGGTGACATTTTCCACGTATGCATGTGCACATTTCCTGCCGATGCGCCGTCTGGGCGCGGCTCTTTGTTGTTTTTGTTGTGTTGCCCGGTAGCGACCAGCCGGCATTCCAACTCGGTCGCGACCGATCGCGACCGATCCCAAAATCGGTCGCGACCAGTCGCCACCGATCGCAACTGACCGGTCGCGACCGATCAGTCGCGACCGATTCTGAAGCCAATCGGTCGCGACCGATACCGAAATTTGAAGCAACATCGGCAGCGACCGATCTCGTCGGTCGCGACTGGAGAGTTCTAGTATCCAATGATCAGGGCCCGGGGTTATGAAATCCGATTTTAGGGGAGGGGGCCCCTGGGGGAGGGCCCAGGGGGGGGGGCGGGGAGGAGAGGGGGTGGAGGCTGGGGCTCCCAAGCGCATCCGCGGCGCCTCCAGAACGTCTCCAGTGCTCCAGGACGGCCCAAGAAGGCCTATCCCTGGCGCCTAGACAGTCCACGTAGGCGTCACGATGGCTCAAGGGTAGCACGACGGTCCCAGATGGCCTCGACATGGTCAACGTGGCCCCCAGGACAGCCAACAAGTGCCCCCACAGGCCCAAATCGTCCCATTCCAATCCAAATGTGCATCTTAAGCATACTCGCATGTTTGTCTTCACGGCGTCCAAGACGGCCCAAGTGGCCCCCAAGATCGTCCTCAGGCGGTTTATGAGGCCCCCAAGAGGGCTCCAAGGCGGCCCAAGATGATCCCAAGACGACTCCAAGACGGCCCTCGAGATGGCCATCAAGACGGACCCATAGCCCCACGAGGGCTTTACTGCATGCCGAGCCCATCCCCCCGCGATGGGCTCGAGAGCCCCCAAAGAGGGCACCAAGAGGGTCCCAAGGAGGCCACAACAGGTGTTTCTTCTCCCAATGATTCTTCCTCGTATTCAAGATCCTTTGCCACCCTCATCTTTCATACCAATCATCACCTACATCATGCACGTGTTCCTCGTCATACTCGTCTCCCACCTCCTTTTCTATTCCCTCTTCTCCTCTGTCTGCTCTTCTGGCTTGTCCCGTTCGTGTTCCTCGTATCTCCCTCTCCTACGCGAAGACTTGCAAAGACGGCCCAAGAATTGCGAAGACCACCCGAGGTCGCTCCCAAAGTCCCCACAACATCCCAAAACAACCCCAAGAACTCGAAGATGCCCGACAAAATATCCAAGGCGACTCAAGAAGCACCAAGACTGCCATGAAGGGCCTCAACCCCCAAAGACAGCAGGACAAAACTATCTTTCGACAGTTTCCGGCGCCCTCTCACACAATGGCGACCACAGACACCGAACATCCCCCTCAGAGTCTCCAGAACGACCCGAAGAACCGTCCAGAGTTACCCAACGCCTGCAGGGAAACCCGCATCATAACCCAATCCTCTTCCAAAATGCCTCGACGTCGTTCATCGTCGTCGTCCTTCTCCTCCTCGTCCTCCTCCTCCTCCTCCTCCTCCTCCTCCTCCTCCTCATCGTTCTTTTCGTCTCGTTCTCGGGGGTCGGCGGAATGGCGTAAACCTCTTGAATCACATTACATTGCTATAAAACATGCATGTGCATCTCATTGCTGCATCAAAATGCAACGACTTACCGTATCAACATGGCCGTGCACTTCATCTTGCAAATACATGTCATCGAATCCACAACCGCGTAGTGGGTACGAGTGGAATACCATCTGGACCATCATGCCCCTTCGAATCACCAATATGTCTACAATGAGTCCTTCGCATCCGACGTGTGCTGTTGCAACCTCCAAGGCAAATCTCCCCACTGACCCCAATATTACCATGTCATGCCGTCCTCCTCATTAGGCGTGCTCGCACCGGGTCCTCCAGCGGACCCATAGTGGTCCACGGGAAAGCACATGAAAACAATGCCATAATTGGTGCAGCACGTTAACAAAAATACATTTGCTTTGCATCAATATCGGTTTCGCTCTGCTGGTCCATCTCTGCCAATTTAGCCTGAGCCACATGCACTGGGCAAGCGCCCCTTCCAATAAGAACTGATACACTATTATCCCACGCATTCCTTTCGGGAGAGGATTGCAATGCCGGCGGCGTGCCTGGGAATAGACGCGATGGTCGATCACAGCTGCCAAGAATTCTGTGTAATCGATGACGCCGCTGCCGTCGGAGTCTACGGCCTCGAGCACCTCGGGAGAGGAACGGCGGGTTCAAGAGGCTTCGAATGACTCGGTCGCGATCGGATCCAGAAGAAAGCAAGACGGGCAGGCGCGCGAAAACGAACAGCCCAGGGATGCCTGGCACGAAAAAGTCCACGCCATGGCGAGGGAGCGCTGCGAAGGCACCTTACGATGCTGCGGCCGCGGCGCTCGACGCAGCCGCAGCCGAGCGCAGGCACGGGACACTTGCAGGCAGCCGACAGGCACTCCGAGGTCGCCCGAAGGACCTGAGAGCAAGCCCTTTGGGCGGGGAGGCAAGCCCGTCGATGTCGTATACAGGTTTATTTGTGTGGCGTCGGAGACTCGGGCCCCCCCAAGCCCGCTGGCCAAGAAGGCGGCGAGGTCATATGACACAATCTCGGCAATCGAATATCAAACCGTAATATGCTGAGAGGCAACCTCTCCCCTGAGAGAACGAACTGTTACATATTAAGGCCTTCTGGAATCTCCGGGGGAGACATGCCCCGCGCTCTGCCTCAACCCGCTCGAGCCTCGGAAGACCGTGCCACGTCGTACGGCCCTCTGGAGCCCGACACCGATCACATGTCACATGTTACTGCCTTCTGGGCGGCTTCGAGAGTATCGCCACACCAAGCCCTGTGCTAGCAGTGTTGCCAACTGACGGCAAGCTCCAGGATGTGTTCTGACCAGCGACGTGCGGTTACACTTGTTGCCCTGGCGCCCGAGCCCCAATACACACACACACACACGATGATGCGACGGGCCTTCGTGTGGCTTGTGGATGCGCTCAATTCGCCAACGTGCCGTGCCCCCTGGCATTGAACGGTGGTGGAATGCCAAGAGCTGCCTGATAGGATTTCGAAGGTTCCTGGACTTCCCGACGCCTGCCTTGGGGACTCCAGAGCTCTCCAACGCGGCTCTCCGACGCTTCCAAAACGGACGAATCACACTGAAGATGGCCTCAAAACATCCCAAGAGACCCCCAAGACGGCTCAAAAGGACCAGGCAGGCCCGAAAGTGCCCAACTCATGGATTCCCAACAGATTTGAAACACAACTTAGGTTCGCGTTCTCACCTTTTCGGGCTTCCGTCAGCCCACGACGGCCCTCGAGGCCTCCAAGATGGCCCCAGGAGGCCCCCAAGATGGGCTCAAGCAATGACCCAAGAGGACCTCAAGACAGCCCAGAGGCCTCAACGACGGAATCAGAAAGAATCAGACTGCCCAAAGGGCGCTCTAAGACGGCCCCAGAACGCCTCCAAGAGAGGAAGGAAGCAAAAGAAACGAAGACACCGAACACGCGGAGAAACGACCCAGCACGAAACGGAAAACCATGCAACACTGTACGGCTCCCCCAAGGTTCGGGACACGAGGTGTCACACGTTACGGCTGTCTGTGCGCTCCTCGAACAGTGGCCACCCGCAGTGCTGGGCTGGCACGGTGGCTGGACGTGCCACACGCAGCTGGACATGACCGAGCCAGAAAAGGCAGACTCGGAGGCAACCCTCAGAAGCAACACTGCATCAGCAACACGCGTTCCGATGTCTCGACAATTGCATCGTTGTTGGCCCACTATTGCTGCCACGACGCATATGAATATTCCTGGACGGCCTCAAGACTGCCTCAAGACTGCCTGGAGGTCAACCTAGAAGTCTTCCAAATACTCACCTGCAAGGCAGATGGTCCCAAGACAGCCGGGGTCGGGCCCGAAGCGGTCCCGAAAGTCTCCAAAGCTCAACTGGACTGCCAAAGGATCCCCGATGCAATAATCAAGCACACCGCAGCGGTGTGAACATGTAAGCACATAATAAACTACTTAACAACATCAAATCGGGAAACATGTAATTGCAGATCGGTATGCGAATGCCGAAAGCAAATATCAAACCTTACAAGATCGCAAACAAAAACTGACAAACACCATATTCCGCCACCCTGCCTGCAAGGAGTGGGCGTGTTCGAATGCTCGTCTGTTGTCTGGAAGGTTTCTAGTGTCTGATGAGCCCGACTCCCCCCCTCGCCCACGCGTCGTTCGAACATCGCCCCTTCTGAAATTGCTGTCCAGCGGTCTTTTAGGCCTCCAAACGGCCAACATGGCCTCCAGGACGGCTTCTTAGACAGCCAAGGCGACACCAAAACGGCTGTAGGTGGCCCACGACGACTCAAGAGGCTCTGAAGCGAGCCTCAAAACGGCCCGAGAGGCTCCCAAGACGGCCCACGAGGGCTCCAAAAGGCCCTCCAGGAGAACCCGAGGAGGCTAAAACCATAGAGTTCCCTTTGATGTTTGACGGATTTAGATGTTCTCGCCTGTTTGAGTTTCCGACCGCCCAAGACGGCCCAACCCATGAGGTCACCAAAAGGGCCCCGAGTCAGCCCAAGAGGGCTTTAAGAGCGCCCAAAAGCGTTCCAGGAGGGCCCCGAGGCGGCCCTGAAGCGTTCCAAGAGGGCACCAAGACGGCTCAGAGTGGCCCCCAACGACTGCCTCCGAAAGCGTCCGGCGGGCACAGCGTGCCCTAGGACAGCCCAAGAGGCCCCCAGGAGGCCCCCAGGAGGCCCCAGGAGGCCCCCAGGAGGTCCCCAAGAGGCCCCCCAGAAGGCTCTCAGTAGGCCCCAAGGAGACCCCAAGAGGGTCCCAAGATGCTCTCTCCACCTCCTCGTTCTCATGTTCTCCCTCCCCGCCTCCTCCTCCTCCTCCTCCTCCTCCGCCTCCTCCTCCGCCTCCTCTTCCTCCTTACCGAAAGGACGAGGACGATGTAGGAATCACGACCGTCCCCAATTCAGAGCACTCGCTGAACTGCTGCGGGGTGTGAACTCCACCTACTTCCTGACGCGCGGACGAAGACGAGGTCGAACTTACGAGCGGTCCTTAGCAGACTACTTGTCGGGATTGCGCTGTTCCTGCACTCAGTCCCCTTCCTGCAGGACGGTGGCACAAGCACGGTGGCGGGATTTGCCGCAGGCAGGACGCCAAGGAAAACATTTAAACTATGATCAAGTCATGCTCCCAATACTTTTGCCAGGGATATAGGGCAGCAGACAAGCAAAGCAACCAGGCGCCCACACGGCGCATAGACAGCACATAACTCTTCGAGCTGCACATACGAATGCCACATGCAGACGCGATCCGGAGTGCGGGAAAACACGCGCCGCCGCAGGATGTGATGTATGACCAGCGGGTACGAACAAGCACATGACATATCTTATATTCGGGTCCGACCAGTGGGAGCTCGACCATAAGAAACTTTCCACTAGAAACCCAACCCTGAAACCCCAAGCTGTCCATTAGTTTTTGGAGTGGGAGCGGTCACGCTATCCATCGCAAGACCATCGAAACCCAAGACACGCAGGGCACCCTGGAGGCAAGCAGGGCGTTTCTTGGCATGGGTTTCCTCCGTATGCCTGCGAGCACAGCAGCGGCCTGCGACTCGATCACGCGCGCAAAGCCTAAGAGCACTGGCAAGGTACATGCGAGCACCGCAATGGGAGGAGGGAGGGAGGAGGAGGGAGGAGGAGAGAGGAGGAGGAAGGAGGAGGGAGGAGGGAGGAGGAGGAAGGAGGAGGAGGGAGGAGGAGGAGGGAGGAGGAGGAGGAGGGAGGAGGAGGAGGAGGGAGGAGGAGGAGGACCCCCCCCCAGGTACGATCGTTGCCGTTACCCGGAGGGGGGAGGGGCCTGGGCGGCGAAGGTTGGCCGCCAATGGAAAAAACAACAATCTCCGTTCAACCGAACTCACACAGTACCATGCCCCATCTCCAGCAACAAACAAAATGCTACAAGCACCGACTGAGCGTGGTGCACATTGTTTGTAAACTGCGGGGCGAACACAATGCTGAAAACGGAGAGGACGATGCTGACGATGATGGTCATGCGCTGACACGTCAAATCAAACTCGCACGTCATCCGCATCGCGCGTGCTGCGACGGTGGCGCGAACGGTGCCCTAACGTGTCCTCAACATACCGCATGTGTTGGCTCGAACTTTGCACACACACGCAGGCACCGCGGCGCCCTCGAAGTGCAGCCCGCCCCGCCGGCAAACCCACGGACGTCCGAGGACCTCCGCAGGACCCTCCACAGACCCAAGACGGCCTGCCGACGAAGCCTCGCGTGTCAAAAGTCAGTGAAATAAATGAAAAATCCTCCTCCTTCTCCTCCTCCTCCTCCTCCTCCTTATCTCCGCCTCCCTCTCCTCCTCCCCCTTCTCCTCCTCCCCCTCCTGGTCGTCGTCGACGTCTTTCACGGTCGGCGGCACCTGCCGTCAGGCCTGCACAATGTAACTAGAGCTGCTCGTGAGCGTATCTTTTATTCGGCATTTCGACACTGGGCAAAAAAGGGGGCTCCGGACCTCTGCTCCATGCGTCTGCTTGCAACGGTTCGCCCCATGGGGGAGACTCCCCCTGCTCGAGACAGGCGCCAAAAAAACAGCCAGATATCTACTCCGTGGGGGGGGAAGAGGGGGTTGGAGGGCCCGCGCCGATCGGCAAAACAGTGCATAAGAAAACAATCACAGTTACATGCGCATTGCTTCCTATCTATTTGGGCCTCGGATGACCTCTACAACGCAAACTACGTCTTCTAGACGCCCTCGATAGAGCTCCC